TCCAGTGATAGAAGATGAGCAACACATCCTCTACGAATGCCCCCTATACGAAGACCTACACAAAAACCTGCATCAACGAACGAGGGACCTGTTAGTAATGAGAGAAGAACCGGGAGAAATCTTCGACGACTCAACATCAATTAGAGACATTGGACGTTTTTAAATAAGGTCGATGAACGGAGGTTCCCGAAGAAAAATACTGAATGAATGTCGTGTTTTGTATTTGATAAGTGAGTGGACATTGTATATGATACTTTCTTTGTCATTGTTGAGTGCTCTTGGCTGAGATTTTTCTGCATACGTCTGTGCCATCTGTGCTAATTCTTTTGCATGGCTATCTACTTTTACCACCTTGTTTGGTTATTCTTTACATAGGAGTAGTTTTGAAAATTAAACCTTCTATTCCTGTAAATTTGGTCGGACACGGCATCTGCCGTTTGACCCAATTTTGTTTAATTCCTGTTTAATTCCTGTTTAATTCCTGTGGTGGTGTCACGTGGTTCTAAGCTGTACGTGACAAGACGAGAATACCTGTTTTCATGACAGCTGCTTTCTTTTCTTTGCAGGACAGATAGTACAAACTAAAAATGTGATCACTTAACAGCTGACACCTTTCCCACAGATATTCGAACAATTTCCAAGGCCAAGGTTTTATAAACAGTTTTGGAAAGATAGGCGGCAGGAAAGTGTCTTTATGAAGGCTCTAGAAATATTACGGTATCGATACGGTAATATTTTGCTTTAAAAGCTTTTAAGATTTATTAAATTTATTATTCGCTAACAATTTGCATACTGGTAATAACTTACATTAGTAACTTAAGTAAGTGTACGTGAAGTTCGGCATAAAAAGCATAAAGCTAATTTTTTAATGGGTTTTTGTAGTTATACAGTTACTGTATATTAGGCAAATTATAGATTTCTTCAAAAATATTTATTTATGATGACGTACTGATGAAGTTTGCGTTATTATTACTTGATTGGATTTGGGCTCTCATCGATCTTAGTGTCAGTGATGGGTGACAGCTTTCTAAAACCTGACATCACGTGATATCACGTGAGGTCCCAGACGTCAAGAAGGAAGTGACAGAAATTGGCGGGAAACAAAACCATCTCTCACCCCAGGGATGGCAAAACACTCCTTATACGGGCATCACGTGACTCCGAACCAAAGAGACCCTTACGTGTGGTATGCCTGGGACCACGGCGTTTCAGGAATGATCTTCTAATATGGATCGGGAAAATAAATTGTTCTTAAAATCACGGCGAGACTTATTTAATGGAAGATATTTAAACGCAGAATAAAATTAAAGCATCTGGCAATTAAAGGTCGATTTAATCCTTTCACCTTTTTAATTTTTAGTCATCTTACTTTCAATTCAAACTTTCTGGTTAAACAAAAAAGATATAAGAAAAAGAAAGATAAGAATTTCGGATACTACAAAGAATCAGAAATTACAAGCACAATTAATTTGTATCAAATCAATCAGCGAAATAAAGCTACGTAACTAGGTGCATTACTTCCCGGTATGAAATATTCCCAACTCCCAGCTTGAGCAACAAAAGTAAACGGCAACGTTTTAAGCTGACTGACTGAGTCATTCCAGAAATATTTCCAGATAGTATTTAATTTATAAAGGCTGCATGAAGCGAACACGAATTACTAATAATGAAACATTGTATTTCAGAAAACCGTACTTCAACATTGATCCAACAATTTGACGTAAAACATTAATAGAAATATTAGAAATTATCGTACTTCAAACTTAAGAAAGTGTTAATAACAAAACTCAAATTCCATCAGTTATACGACGTGCAAGTACGTGATGAACGCCAGCTTTTCCAACTACATCGAGTACTTCACAACATATCATACAATACATGACATATTCTACATACTTCACAACATATTCTACATACTTTATCACATATTCCACTGCCATGACCACGTCAAACAGCTAACAGGCTGACTGGAGCCAGTATTTTAATCAGAAGGACTGGTACCCCCCCCCCCCCCCCCCCCCCGGAAATATCCGTACTATTCTAAAAAGTTGCATGCAACTCCCCGGACAGTGCCAAGTATGTCCACCTTATACACATTATGTGTATACACATTACACATGTGTTATTATATACATTTCACAGGTAATCTATGCTTCACATTAAACTGTGAGCACTTCCAGCATATTACGTAGTTTTAAGGGAATAGAAATTGCGTTTATGAAGGAGTATGAACTATAAATGTAGTATGATGAAGAGCTGGCTAAGAAAAGGGAGATTGAACGGCTGAAACTAATCAGCTTTTTTTTTTCTTTCCGTTTTTATCAGTCATCCTCAGACACTTTTACCATTACATTTGGCGACACTCAAATAACTCAATGACTATTAAGACTAATAAGCGATAATTTTGTACAGTCAGAATAAGTCATTGTGTCCCCCTTTTAAACAAATTCTCATCTCATATATGGTATTTATAGTTTAAACTCATTCATAAACCCTTTTTTTTCTATTCAAGTTGCGTTCCCGTCTTTTACAATTTGAGCCAGAGATGAAGCTTCCATTATACCAAAAGAAATGGTCTGTGTTACAATAAAAGAGTAAATAAAAAGCGGAACTTCCAGTAAACAACTTACAACAGTTCTTATAGCCGAGACTCGAGATCCAGCGTAATCATGCCAAAGTAGATTAATTGTGCGATGTACACAAAGTTACGATTCAGCGACCATCAACGGATTACCATGTTGCCGCAGTTACCGCGCTAATGCGCTATATATTATGATATTATATCATTATCTTATGCCGACCGTCTATTAACCGGCTATTAACCCGGCTATTAGCCGGCTAAGAGTTTGTCGGCACTGTACCTATAAATACCCACGGCTTACCTTTTAACACCACAATTCTAGTCACAAACCTGCTGGACGATTATAAACTGCTAGTAGAGACCATTATAACCAGAACTTCTATAACCAATATATAATTATATATTATATATATATATATGACGCAGTGATTCTAGACACAACTTTATAATACGAGCAGCAAAACTGTCAAAAGTCTAGAGTTATTTAAATACAACTTTACAATACTAGCAAGCTAACACTGTCACAACATTCAAGTCATAAAGAGCTAATCTAAATTTAATAACGTGTTAATACACGAATAATCTGCCCCTATTATATATTACGCCCCTGCTTATATACAGCTCTACCAACAGACTGCTGACAATTTCACTGCTATCCAATTATCATTAAACGAGTCAAGGACAAGAGTTAGCGAACGAGGTTTTTTGTTGTATATGGTAGCTTTGCGACCGTCGTACGAGCGAACGTGCCCAATAAGCTACCAATGAGTTGTTGCTTGGTTTCCCAAACAGTTCTAACTAACAAGCAGGCCTATTTTATTATATCAAACATGTGAAACACTTGAAATAGGCGAACAAACGAACCATTTCATGGTATAGTCAAAGATAAAAGTAGAACAATTCTAATCATCGGTGTGGATGATTGGTTTTGCTATATCTTTAACTAAAACATGAAACGACTAGTTTGTCCGCGTATCGGCACCAATATCATTATGGTTTGACCGCCGTGTTTTGATTTAGCCGAAATAGATTTTACTAATGTTTTACATACATTTTCCTCACTCTTGCTGAAGTCTAGTAGTGTTGAGGTTAATTAATATTTTTCTAACCCTCATGAATCATGTTGTTGCCTCATTGTAGATATTTTGGTCATTGATGTAAAATTTATTTGAATTTTTAAATTAATTAAATTGTTTGACAAAATGAATAAGTAAATTTGTTACTTCTACTATCATAAGTATTGTAAAAATCGGTAACACCACACAGTTAACTGGCACACATCTATTTATGCTATTTATCGCGATACTAATATGTAAAATTTATTTAATAATATAACATTTTATACAAAAATGGGGTATTATATATATAGTTTTAATCATGATTAAATTTTGCTGTTTACTTAAGTCTTGTGATCAATCTAAATGTTATGAAACTCTTTTGCCCTCAGCAATGAGATTAATTCAACTAGATCTAAGAGTTTAGCTTCAGCTCATGTCTAGACTATAAAACTAATAACGCTATTCTGGAAACCAAGAGAACATGCTGGAATAAGTTGCATATTTAATAACATCATGTGCAGCCAACTTTGATACATAACACTCAATTTCATATTAAACTTACGAGGCCGAGGATGGTTGAAGCTTATAACATTAGTAAACTAATCTAATTATATAACCCGAGCCTTGGATTGTAAACTCAAACCTAACACATAATATTTACAATGTAGAACCACCATCCACAGTGTGTAAATAATAAAATATATTTATGCGGCTCAACTGTGCAGTACTGTTCATTGTGGACGGCGGTCGAGCGGTTGCTACTTTCTAACTTATGTATTTCTTAATAAACTTATCAAAACTCATTTAAAGCCGACACTATATAACATATATAATTGATTTCAACAACGTTACAAAAGAACTGAGATTTATAAAACTTATAGCCGGTTGGAACAAACTAAACTTAATGTTCAGCCCAACTAGAAGTTTCATGTATGATAGGCAATATAGTTTAAAGAGGTAGTACTATAGATCCAACTGTAGGTACTATATTATATCCAACGTTACGAAAGCATCATTACTATGCAGCGAATTAAATGAGCAATATCACAGCTGTAACTGAGTATTAAGTAGTTATAGCGTTTTTCTTGCGATATTTCACTGCTCACGCTTACCGTATATTATGATATAGAATATTTCCCCAACAGAGCAACGAATTTATTTTTAGTGTGACCAATCTATTATAGCTATGTTAATGACATTTTTTTCAGTGTCTCCCCCTGGTACTACCCCTGGTACTACCCCTGGTACTGCCCCTGCCCCTGCCCCTGCCCCTGCCCCTGCCCCTGCCCCTGCCCCTGCCCCTGCCCCTGCCCCTGCCCCTGCCCCTGCCCCTGCCCCCTAAAAGTTAAACACACACTAACCTGTAGAGGGTTAGGTAGCTTAGTGTTCTCCGCCTCCCTGAACCCCTTCAGTATCTCCCCCCTGGTACTAGTCCGGAACTCCTTCTCCAGCACCTCGTCCCACCACCCCTTCTCTGCCAGGTAGTTTCTGATACGGTTTATGGGCGTGTCCACTGTGTCCCAGTGCTTCACCTCGTCTACTGACCTGCAGGGGTAGTTTATTTTAACAAATAAGGTGGTAACAACGACCTGGAAACATTACATATTGTTTACATATTGTTAGTTTACAGCCACCTGGAGGGGTTCTGAAAACTTATTATTGATAAGAAGTAGTACTAGTAGTAGTGATAAGAAGGGGTTTCGTAAATATATCGAGTTGTTAGCTGAGGATACAGAAACTGGTAGTAGTATAAGATATAGAAATGGTTTATCAGTAATCGATAAACAATGACGTAAAGATAAATGTTTTGAATAGTTAAATCGACAATTTACGCTTGAATGCACGGTAAACTAAGCAGAAGGATTATAATTTCTGAGAAGATTGGCGAGACAGAATTGTGTTTTGAGGTAATGAACGAATGGTTAGCTCTGTACTAGCATTTTGAATTAACTATACGACGTGTATGTATTTAAATTAAGTAAGCATCTAAAGTTTGAGCTCCTAGTTCACCTAATGAGAGTCTGTATGAGAGCTGCCTTTTGTAAACATACAGTGGGTCGAATATTATGCTCTATAAAATATACCGAGTTAAGGATCTAGGAGTTACAGTGTCTTCAGATATTATATCGTGGTCACATCATGTCAGTTCTATGGCATCCCGAGCTAGGAACGTTCCAGCCTCGGTGCTCAGATCTTCACCCCATTATAGACCCACAGCTGTTTAAAGCTATCAGCATTTGTTAAATCCTTTCCAGATTATAACCCATCTGTCTGCCCTAATTGAAATTTTTTGCTGGACTGTAGTATGGACAAGGCAGCAGCGATGCTACAAGGGCGGTCAAACTATTTGATGACCCACTAAAGGAATCTACGAATATTTCCTAAGTACATAAAGTAATTAAGTAAAGTAACTTTGCATCGACAGTAGACAAGGATTTAAAGAAAATCTGTATTCAAAGAAGATACGAATCTAATTCTGAGATAAGTCTTAGTAACTCTGTATCTAAATAATATCATGTATGAGTATTTGCAGACATCTGTATTTAAAGTAAGTATTTGTTGAGATTTGTATAGACAAACCTGTAGGCAGTAGAATCATCGCTGGTGCTGTGGTGGCCCACTCTATAAGTCATAGCCTCTAACACGACTGGTCTCTGCTGTTCGACACTGAGTTTCCGCGCGGCTTTCGTCGCGTTGTACACCGCAAACAAATCGTTACCGTCAAACCTTATTGCGGGTATTCCATACCCTATCCCACGGGATGCGATACCTGCATATAAAAATATCATTAGAGAAGCTGGAGATTTACATTCATTGTATTGAAAAGTTAGCTTGAGGTTATAAGTTATAATACCGGATACTTTCTTGGAAACACGTCAGCAAACGAAAATCAATAAAAAGGAAGTTACTGCCGCCTTCCCCTGTCTACTGAACAAAATAATCTACAAATTAAAAACTCGGGACATGACAGGCTTAACCATCTCTGACCGGAATTAAAAATACCGGAGGATGTCCAAAAACTCAAACGTAATCGTGCTGGATCCGACTAATTTTGTTGATTTGAAGATTCGCCGAGATTCGAAGACTTTACCACGATACCCAATTTGACTATAACGTACCACGGGGAAAAGCTTCAAATCTTCAAATTAACAAAATACAACCACTTAACCTCTCCCGAATTTGTCTCAATTTGGCAAAAAAGCAGAGTTGTCAAGTCTGGTGCTTAATGATAATCACGTACCCACGTGGTAATCACGTGGGCACGTGGTAATCACGTGGTAATCACGTGCCCATGTGGTAATCACGTACCCACGTGGTATGTACCACGCTGGCTGCTGGCTGCTGCATTATAATATAACCACTTAACTTAATGTGAGTAAACGCTACAACTCCTGGATTACCTACCATCTCCTCTGTATTGGTCCTTGGTGGCGGTTGAAATAGCATAACCATTGTTCCGGCAGAAGAAGAGAATAGGACAGTCCAGTGTGGCGGCCATGTTCATGGCAGAGTGGCAGTCCCCCTCGGAGGCGGCTCCCTCCCCAAAGTAGCACACTGCACAGGAGTCTTTGTCGCGCTGCTTCATTGCGTAGGCGTACCCGGCTGCTTGAGGGATCTGAGGGTTGTAATGCAGCTCAGGTTAGCAGGGTGTTTACTGTTTACGTATAGTACTAGTAATATAGTAGTAGTACTGTTAACTGTTTACTGTTTATGTTTACGTAGATCTGGTTACAGAAATGGGATTTGAACTGCAAGGGCACGACTTTGATAATTTCAGGCTAGCAGTGGTAATTTCAGCGACGCGTTTCAAAGTTTCGTTATTCAGCATGACAATTAAAGGGATTAGGAGTTGAAATTATTTTATAAACTCAGATACTTTAACCTTATCATTTTATAAAGAAATTGTCATATTTACGTCATTGAGGGTGAGTAAAACTTTTTAAAAATTATCAGTCGAAATTCATTAAAATATAAAATTAGGATATTTTGACAAAAAATCGACGTTATTATTTGACAACCATACGTCATTAAGGTTGTATAAAACTTAACGGGGATTAAGCATTCAAATTTGTTTATAAAGCACAGATATTATGACTTAAGGGGGCAGGGTCTTAATGGAAATTGTCTCAAAATCGACTTTTTAGTTTTTTCTGATAGAGGGAGTTCCATAAAGACCCCCGCCCCTCTTACAAGAAATCGCCAACCTCATGAGGCCATAACCGTGACCACGGGCATGACACATACCAAAACTAATCAAAAGATAAATGACATAATAACATATTCTGTACATCTCCTCATGGGATGTGCCTATTTATAGAACAGTATGCAGAGTATCCAGAATTAATTATAGATGTACAATAAAATAATAGACAGATTTTGGGAGTTCCAAATAGTTTCTGATTATTCTGATTTCTTGCGACAAATGATACTGCACTGTTAGGATAATAAAATTAATATAATACACAAATAAAACTTCCTTTCCTGATAAGAGCATTTTTCCTTGTCGCATCAAACGGGATCAATACAAATTTACACAAGAATACGTTGCAACCATGCGCCTCATAAACAATACTCCAATCCGGATTTTACACAAATAAAAGAACAATAATTACTGAACAATACCTGAGTACCGAGTGGTGATGACACAGTTACCTGGTTACCTGGTTACCTGGTTACCTGGTTACCTGGTTACTTGGTTACATGGTTACCTGGTTACCTGGTTACCTGGTTACCTGGTTACCTGAACAATACCTGTGTACCGAGTGGTGATGACACAGCCTGGATGTTAACTTTCGCTCCAGTGTAATGTACTGGCATCTGTTTACCTGGTCACACGGGGACAAATCAGTAAATTATAATACAACTATATTTAAACATTATGACACCATAGGTTATGTGCCCACTCTAGTTCTTATAATGCTGTGTAAAGCTCAGGGACCATCATTGTCCATTTCAAGGTAAGCTCTAAAGCTCTGAATTCAGATTTTGATGCTAATTCTGCCTTGAGTATAAGTAGGAGGAGTTGAGATATCTTTAGAAAAGGCAAAAATTTCTAAAAATCACCTTTTCCGAAGTCCTTGTTAGTTCCAAAACACTGATGCATCATTTCGAGCGGAGTATAGCCTCTCCAAATAAACACACCAGCTTCACGGTACTGAGGGAACACGACATCCTTAAACTTGAGAGCTCGAGCACTGCCTATTTGGGTTGCTTCCTCTCCAAAGTTCGTCATGTAAAAGGATATACGCCCTGAAAATTGTGGGTTTATGTCATCTTTATTGGGGAACTGTTTGAGTTAATAAACTTGACATAGTTTCTCGGATATTGGATATACGCCTACTTTTGAAAGGTTATGTTGCTGTTAATAGCTTTGTTAATAGCAATAACTGTAAATTGTTCAGAACACAAGTTACAGAACACAAGTTACAAACACAGTAAGAATTGGGGCCACAATTCTTGATATGTAAACGGCCCTAAACAAAACACGAAAGCGTGTATCAAAATTGAGTTATTAATGCAGTTCTTGACGCTATAAGCTACTCTAAAAAAAAAAAAGGAGAAAAAAAGCTATTCTGTACGTGAAACATTAGAATCATTCCTAAGGTCACACGCTGAATTTTTGGAAGCCAATTTTAAGTTTCCGGCTTGAATTGTTACAATGAATTGCATTGAATCAATAAATATAATGATGAGTCAGTCATGTTTTGATTTGAACATAATGCATCCTCAGTCATACTTTTAGCCTGTATTGTTTGATAGAACAAAGCGTAATTTTTACTTCATGCATGCACACTTATATTACTACCCGGGTATATTATAATTTGTTGACAAAAAGCCAAGGGACAGAAAAGAACATTATTCAAGTACATAAAATGTACCTTGTCTTTGAGACTGATACAATATTCTATCCATGATACTGGTTTTAACCATTGCTTTGTACATATCAAGAAGGTCTTCCTTGTCAAATTCGGGATCATCTTTGGGATTTATGACTTTTCCCTGACTGTTCAGAACTCTGTAAATCGGGATTGTTGGTACCTGTATTATTCTTGTTATAGACATTATATACCACGCAGAGTGAGAACATTAATGTCAAATCGGCAATAATATCACTGAATCATCAGTGATCAAACCTGATTAAAAATTTGATTACTGGTAAATTGATTATAAATATCTGAAAATTACCTCTTCAGGAAGAATGAACCGCATCTCTTTAGTAAATTCTGTTTTAACTCCAGGATAAGGAGCAGGCTCGTCTCTTACACTATCATGATGGAAACCAGCTACCCTCTGAGTGACAGCTCCCAGAGTCCCAACTTTACGAGCTATTTTTATCATGGCTGCTTAACAATATACAGAAAAGTTAAGAAACAGTGTATAATTAGTTGTACTAAAATCTGGCATTGTGATATTTTGCTATAATGGTCTATTTCATAGTCTGAGCATCTGAAATTGCTTACGATTTTAAAACTGACTTAACCGACAAAACAGTTTGGCAGATAAAATATGGGATAGTGGATTTTCCCAGCCCAACCTGGGTTATGCTGTTGAATAAACTTGAAGAATGTCATAGAATTGGGCTGACTCAGTGAGCCAGTAAAGTTGTTAGACAGTTAGACTTGTCAAGTCACTGGCGCAGTGAGTTAGCCAGTTGCATACTGATCAACTTACAACATTTAGAATGCATATGGCTCTCTTTTTCCCCTGGCAAGGAATCTGCAAATGACACTTCTAAATTGAGAACTTTATTCAAATTTCAGTGTTTCTTGGTTTTTGTCCTGTGCTTTTGTAATATTGATCATATATATTCAAGGATACAAGGATACAAGGATACAAGGATACAAAAGTGATAATTATTTTATTGAATTCACAATAGTTATAATTCTGAAATAATTTAAGGTTACACAATTCTAGTTATTTACAAATGTGTAGGGATAAAATAGAAATGTTTTATAATACTATTTTTGAGGTCCTATAGCATTATGCATTGGCCAGTATTTGAGTGGAAATCTGGGCTCTTATAGTAGGCTGTAAAATTTTCGTTCACAGAGAGAATTGAATGGATTGCTCTTGCTGTGGCAGTAAATTTTGTAGGGTCTAGTGTTTTATCGGATAGCAAACCGGCTAGGTCAGTAATATTTTTGGGATGGAAGTTAAATTTTTCTCTAACTGAGGAGTAGAGTAAACAGTCAGTTAGAACATGAATTTCGTCCTCAATAGGCTTAAGCCCCTTGCTGAAAAAGCAAAAAGTGCACCATCGATGTTCTCTTGGTACTAGGGGGGTTTCGTAACGGCCCCTCTCAATGTAAAGATTGTGGCAGCTAATACGAAACCTTGTTAAGCTTTTCCGAGCATCGGGGATCTTAACAACTCCTAAGTATGTTTCTGGTTCAAAATCATGTTTAATTTGATTGTAGAATTCTAATTTAGGTGAGGATGCCTTCATAAGAACATCTTAATAATTTAATAAATGATTTGATATTGTGCTTAATATTGCAACCTGCAGTTTGGACCTTTACCCAACAAACATACCTTGAGTATTCATGATCTAAGAAGTGTTTATCCGGTGTATCGCCTTATTGAAATAATGCAACCAAACCGTAATCTGTGTTTGATAAAAGTCATTTCATCACAGTATCTCTGACCTTCCCAAAGGCTGATCTTTCCTGCAAGGTGCTTTAAGAACTCAGATGTCTCTGGTGCCATTCCTCCAGCCTCCTGAACTTGTATTTAAAACTAGTGGGTATATTATACTCATTGGAGTTCCAAGAGCCTTTTTGCTTCAGCATGATATATTCTTACAGTTAACAAGAAATGCGGCCGCTTTTTTTTGTGCATGGCCGCTCAATTTCCCGATCCGTGATGGCGTATTTTATCATTTTCTATACAACCTGAGGACCCCAGTTTTTACTGTTTATAAGTATGCAGATATATGGCGAAGTGACAGGCCGAGCGCCACCAAGTTAATATAATTCCATATTGAATTTGAAAATCGTGTATATTTTTAAAAACCATATGCTTATTGTTTATGCAACCTGACACCCGACACGGATGTGTGCAAAATAGTATAAGTAACTCAAAATAATAATAGTATGCTATCAATTAGTGCCTAGTGGGATATGTACATGGTGAAATTAACAATGTACTTGGTCAGTTCAGCGCCGCGCGCCAACAATTAGCTGATTCGGATTATTCAGCAAAATAACTTTGCGCAGGTAGTCACGTGGGCGATTACAGTGTACGTGTGCAGGCAGGTACGGTCGCTCGCACGCTCGCACGCTCGCAGGTACGGTCGCAAAGCTACCATATACAAAAAAAACCTCGTTCGCTAACCCTTGTCCTTGACTCTTTTGTGCCTTCGGCACTTTGAGTCATGGATCGGGAAAAAATGCCCTTTCCAATAGGTTCCAAATACTCCTAGCACTGACATCTAACCAGAACAAACTGCTTTGTTAGTCCCTGCAGGAAATTCTGTCCCGTTGACAGGAAGAAGGAAAACCCCCCGGTTCAGGGGTTACACCTTTACAGCCAGCAGTTTGCAAAATCTCAGCTATCAGTCAATCTCTGCAATCTGTCAATGAATTGTGGCGAATAGATACATATCAACCACATTGGCATATAAATGGGCGTTTATTGAGTTGTTACCAGCTGAATCAAAGTTGTACTTAGGTACTAGGACATTATTGAAATTATTGCTCGTGGAGACAGAATCCTTGTATGTTGTAAATTTCACATAACTATTGTAATCAGGATTTATTATATACATTGATTATTGTTATGATGTTAACTTACTAACTTCATTCCCCTGTAAGGGTTCCAATCTAGGTTAATGGTATTTTCATTGTGAACACTACACACCGCGCGCAACACAATCTACGAACTCGAAACTTTCGAGGTCTGTAACACTGGAAGGAAGCAATATCTAGACGATCTGGCACTTTCTGAGGCTTAAGCAACCTAAGAGAAATTAGGGGAACAACTCAGAACAAATTTTAAGTGGATATTTTGGTGTTTGTCGATGTCCGAAATTTCGGCAGTATAGTGATCACAACACAGCTTCTGAAGGTTCTAGAAAGTTCCCAATACCGTCAGAGTGTTCAGGACACTCCATTCTATCATATAAGAACCCCAAAAGATGTCCCAGGGCTCGAGCAGAAAAGTGTGATATTTGCCCATAACAGCTATTTAACTGCGTACCCGGCCAGAATACATTAATAACCATGAATCTTTGCCTACTACGTAAAGCGCTTGTTTCACTACTGCAAGCGCAAGAGCTCTGGTTAGAGCAAGTTGTAACTTAAGAGAAAGTGATGGAAGCTAAGAACGTACCCCTTTCTCTGATGTAAAATCTAACTACAGTTTTTGTGCTTCATTCAGCTCAGTTGTAACTTCTTCTTTTTTACTTTGAAAAACTCTATTCTCGATATTCAGATTTCAGTATTGATCCGAATAAGATTCTTCAAAAAGTCTCCTGGTTTTTTAATATTATAAAATTATTCAAACAATATACACATAATATAGCAATGACCCTATATAAAATCTACCCTTTTAAGAATTAAAAAAAGTTTCCTAAACAATCAAAAATTACCCTTGGCCTTGTGGCTCCAAGTTAAGATCTAGACTGTTTATATCAACAATGTTTTTTCTCGCACCTCTGTCTCCACGGAGAGAAATCACTGTTGTTCTTAGGATTTCAAAGCAAAGGCGCTTTCTAATGTATCTTACAGCAACCGAGTACCTCTGGCCAGTGTGGTACTCCATCTTACTGGCCAGCTTCTTAACCAGTCTTTCAGCTTCACCACCCATTCCACCAGAAGTCGAGAAAACTAAAGGTGTGAAGCTTCCTTTCTCCACTTCAAGAACCCTTGCGTTGTAACATCGCTTTTTCTCCTGGTTGATTATATGTTGCTTTTATTGGATTTGCATTTGACACCGCTGCGCGCAGTGTTGTGACCGCTCTTCGTCTTATTTTACACATATTTGGACGTTGCCAATTCATTCCATTGATAATTTTGAAGTTTTAACATTTTTATACTAAATTCTTTTTTAATTTGGTTCTAAAACGATTAGGCTTGCTTTCTATGAAACTTTAATGTACTTTCGTAAAATAATTTTGATGTGGCAGCGATTTGAAAAAGAAATTATTTAAAAATGATACAAAAAAATCGGACATTTTTTGATATTAAAACATATATAACTTGGGCTGTGTTGACAGTAGAAAAATTAATTAACCTCTATCCGACAGCTTTAAAAATTTTCTAGGCGCCGCGCAAATCCACGCGCGCATTTTAGCGTGTCAAAATCGTTTAAAACTAGAATTAGTTGATGAAGGAGCATAATGCAGATCATACGTTGTACGTGTATGTGGTGTGATCATTATAATTTCGCGCTATTTCTTGTTTCTGCACTCGCTTTGAACTTTGGCTTTAACAGCAGTTATCGACTTAGCTGTATTACATAGTGTACTTGGTACATAATTGATCAAAAGGGCTCGTGTTACTTTAACATCACTTTTGAATTTCACGAAAGCAGATAAAAGGTAGGTTTTCGTTGAATCAAAGTAAGCTAATATCAATTAGAACGAGTATAATTGTTTTACTTTAAAACATCGCTTGGTACTGTCAGCCTATTTTATAGTTAACTAACGACATTCTGGATGATGATTAATCACTCTACACTCGACTGTCACGTGACTTTTTAAACACGTTCTCTTGGTGGCCCTGAATGACTATTCGAAATCATAGCCCTCTAATCTGATGCCAACCTTAACCCTAACCCAATCCCTAACAAAAGCATATGCTGAAACCCTAACCCTACAAGTTTTGTTTTTCGCAAATATCTCGGCAGGGGAGCATTTTAACATGTCATGGGGGTGATTCGGAATCAGCGGCGGAAAATACATCGATTTAAGCTGGTTTCAACTGTCGGGGGCCCTTTTAGAACAATCTCGAAGATCGACTGTAGAGTGATTTAGCACGCTCGACATTCTCGCTTTAGGTTATTTTATATAAAACAGTTTTACCACTGTGAGTTGTTCAAGCATTGCACTAGTTTATTACAAAGATTATTAAAACCTTGCGGTAAAATTATTATTATACAAGCACCCATAAATGACAAAAGTCACTTAATTTCAACATTGCTTTTGTAATTTCCTACAGCTCTTACTTGCAGGTCGCCCCGTGGTGGTTCATGGAATTGGAGGCGTCTAAAAAAACTGACTGAACTATACACTATAATCTAATTTATATGATTAGTGCTTATTAACCTCTTCGAGCCTTTTATTAAATCTACAAATGAACTTGCAATGTTTTGCAGTTTTAGTGACGCTGCAGAAAATAGATTGAAGAAACTCCGGAATACTCAATACTGTGGATTGGGAGGAGGAGAAAGTGATAATCCTGTTATATGGACTGTTTCTAGGACACGATAAACTTCCTAATAAGGTATGTGTTTAGGATACGATAAACTTCTTGAGAGAATCGTGTTAAGAGTTCAATTTTGAGATATATCCTCCTGAGGATGAAAGTTTGGTTACCAAGTGAGATGACACAGTCAGTTACTTAGATACCGTGGTTACTAAATGACGGCAAATCAGTGACTCTAGGGACGGAATTGTATGATAATTGCCAGAATTATGTTAAATATGAAATGAGTGCCAGGAGTCAGTTTTGTGGGTTATATTACTGGCTTTAAAGGGGTTTTAAAAAGGTGTAAATAGTTGGATAAGTGTAAAACACATTGTCTGGCCGTTTAAGATCCTGAAATGAGTGCCAGGAGTCAGTTTTGTGGGTTATATTGCTGACTTTAAAGGGGTTTTAAAAAGGTGTAAATAGTTGGATAAGTGTAAAACACATTGTCTGGCCGTTTAAGATCCTGAAATGAGTGCCAGGAGTCAGTTTTGTGGATTATATTGCTGACTTTAAAGGGGTTTTAAAAAGGTGTAATTAGTTGAATGAGTGTAAAACACGTTATTTGGCCGTTTAAGATCCTGAAATGAGTGCCAGGAGTCAGTTTTGTGGATTATATTGCTGACTTTAAAGGGGTTTTAAAAAGGTGTAAATAGTTGAATAAGTGTAAAACACGTTATTTGGCCGTTTAAGATCCTGAAATGAGTGCCAGGAGTCAGTTTTGTGGGTTATATTACTGGCTTTAAAGGGGTTTTAAAAAGGTGTAAATAGTTGGATAAGTGTAAAACACATTGTCTGGCCGTTTAAGATCCTGAAATGAGTGCCAGGAGTCAGTTTTGTGGATTATATTGCTGACTTTAAAGGGGTTTTAAAAAGGTGTAAATAGTTGGATAAGTGTAAAACACGTTATTTGGCCGTTTAAGATCCTGAAATGAGTGCCAGGATTCAGTTTTGTGGATTATATTGCTGACTTTAAAGGGGTTTTAAAAAGGTGTAAATAGTTGGATAAGTGTAAAACACATTGTCTGGCCGTTTAAGATCCTGAAATGAGTGCCAGGATTCAGTTTTGTGGATTATATTGCTGACTTTAAAGGGGTTTTAAAAAGGTGTAAATAGTTGGATAAGTGTAAAACACATTGTCTGGCCGTTTAAGATCCTGAAATGAGTGCCAGGAGTCAGTTTTGTGGATTATATTGCTGACTTTAAAGGGGTTTTAAAAAGGTGTAAATAGTTGAATAAGTGTAAAACACGTTATTTGGCCGTTTAAGATCCTGAAATGAGTGCCAGGAGTCAGTTTTGTGGGTTATATTACTGGCTTTAAAGGGGGTTTAAAAAGGTGTAAATAGTTGGATAAGTGTAAAACACATTGTCTGGCCGTTTAAGATCCTGAAATGAGTGCCAGGAGTCAGTTTTGTGGATTATATTGCTGACTTTAAAGGGGTTTTAAAAAGGTGTAAATAGTTGGATAAGTGTAAAACACATTGTCTGGCCGTTTAAGATCCTGAAATGAGTGCCAGGATTCAGTTTTGTGGATTATATTGCTGACTTTAAAGGGGTTTAAAAAGGTGTAAATAGTTGGATAAGTGTAAAACACATTGTTTGGCCGTTTAAGATCCTGAAATGAGTGCCAGGAGTCAGTTTTGTGGATTATATTACTGGCTTTAAAGGGGTTTTAAAAAGGTGTAAATAGTTGGATTAGTGTAAAACACATTGTCTGGCCGTTTAAGAACCTGAAATGAGTGCCAGGAGTCAGTTTTGTGGGTTATATTACTGGCTTTAAACTTTCAGAAATACTAAGTTTGACCCAGATTTAAAGGTCGCTACTGAATGTAATATTTCAGTTAACAACTCTACCTCGATTCGATGCAGTGGGAGAGGTTGAAGTTGACGTTTAAGCAGTCACCCTGCCGAACAAAAAATCTTTCAGGCCAAGAGGCTAGGTGACTAGAAACTCAATCACTATATCCGTGAAACTTGTCTGGAGCACTGTTATGTGAGTTATTTTACCTTCTAATTTCCAATGAGCATGAAAATTACCCAGGTTCATGGAATGCACAAAAATGAACAAAAATTGATATTCTCCTAAAAGTGGTGAGAACGGTTCAAAACTGGCCGGAAAGCGTTTAGATTGGTCCTAGGACCACTCAAACCAAGTTTGGGAATCACTACATGTCTACAACCTATGTAACCAATGTTCCAAAATGTTCCAATTTTGTCCCAATAATTCGTTCACCAGCCTACCTCGCGTTCACCAGCATGCGCTGTGACCATCATGGTCACAGCGCAAGATGCGCGCATTTTAAAATTGCGGGAACACATTTTAATTGCCATTGTACATTGTACTTGTAGTGCATAGTGGAGTGTGTGGTCTGATAGTAGACAGAGGATTTATTTGAAACATTCCCGTTGCCTTCAACTCTTCTTTGCACTGACTATTTGATTGCTTAAACGAATAGGCGAGCCTTCAATTTAAACATTAGTTTCAATGTTTTCATAGTTTTATGATGCAAATATGATTTTTCCATTTACATAACTGATAATACCCCCAATATCTTTTCAGGTGTGGAGGTCGGACCGAAACTAATCAGACACTAAACATTAACGAGGACCAATTATTTTACTCCTTTAATGATGAATAATTATAAAGATCGCTGATTGCTTTTACTAATATATAGTGTTAAAATGAAAGAGAAACTGTTGAGACAAAAGAGAAAAACGCACTCATTTATTTATAGTTTTATGTCTTAACAATGTTATTCGAAAGCTAATTTTAAAAGCTGGCTCTAATTCCTTGCTAAATGATTTGGGAAGGTGTAAGGGCTAAACATGCCTGTAGACATCATTTTCAGTGGGTTTTATGAAGTTTATGATTAGGGTATATTTTGGGACTGAAATAAGCGCAAGACCTTCGACGTTTCTATTCCTACTGTTTTTTTAATTTAGCAAATATACCAAAAAAAATTATACTGTCGTAAAGATAAAATGTTTAGTTATCGGATAGATACTTTAAAATTAAGTATTAAAATAACCGAGCTAAGATATTCAATGTTAAACTCAAAAATGTTCACGCGTTTATGAAGAAATATTTAATTCTGCGCGTAGTTTTTTGGGTCACAACTATGGCAAATTTTTAACAATTTTGTTCATAATTTCAAAATGTTATTTAGTAGACAAATTACTTTCGGACTAAATCCATATTGTTTATTCAAATCTAAAAGAAACAACATTTATTTGACTTCAAAATTGTTCAATCTGAATACGAGCTAATTACGACGAAGGGAGGTCACAACACTGCGCGCAGGAGTGTTTGATGTTGTTTTGCAGAACATATAAGTATGTTTGCTTTTCAACTGTCGATCTTTTTTATAATGAGTCGGCGCGGCCCGCGTCCTTAACGGGTGATACTCGTAAAATAATGAATATCTGTTCCATATACCAGGACCGTCGACGAGTCCAACCCGGCGCGCGTCCTGGTAGGTTGTAAACCTACAACCCGTGTCCCCGCAATTGTGCTGATCTAGCAAATTCATGGTTAGTTGTTAACAAATTGCCTAACGTTGTATAGTAGACCCACCGCGCAACTTTCGACACAATATTTAAAATTGGTTGTAGCGCACTATTGGGCCTCGCATCTGGCATCAAATAATGTTTTTTGCTAGATCGCATCGGCAATCAAATGACCCATAAAAACGAGCTATAAAATATTGACATTGTGAATCAACGATATTGGCGATACACTAAGTGAAACGACAATGGGTGTCACGACGTGATACAAAATAAACTTTATTTGGTGCGCGGCACGAGCCAGTCAGTGTATTGTGTGCATTGTGCCACAAATGTACCGTCAATCAAAGTGGTTTATTGTAGCGTGATGTACTACTGTGTCACACATCAAATAATTATCATTCTTGCTTCACAAGGTTGTAGCACTTTCTATTCGGCCGCTACGAGGGATCGGCATCGTCAATGGTCAATCAAACTGATTTATCATATTCCCGTAGGGCCAGAAAAAGATAAAATGTACGTACGTGCGCGCGCGTTCCGCAGAGTTTGGCGCGCCAAGAGGATCAAGTATAAAGACAATGTCAGCTAGTTGTATAGCTGTTCGATGATAGCATTCGATTGCCTTCCATCTCCAGCAGTGCCGCATCACCAAAACAAACATTAACTCTATTTATAACCAGTGGCGTAACGAAGGGCCCTGCTGACCCCGCTGTGCAGGGGGGCGCCGTCTTAGGGGGGCGCCAAATCGTCGTTTGAATGTGGGACAATTTCGAAAACTTAACTAAAGTACTAGCAAAACTGCGCGTTTTGATCTAGATACACACTTTTTTAGAGATTTTACCGGCGTATCCTCTAAAATCACCTAATTTGTTCAATTTTAGGGAGGGGCACCAAAAGGGGAGGGGGCGCCAACAGGGGGGCGCCTTTTCGGCAGGGGGGCGCCAACAGGCAACGTTACGCCACTGTTTATAACATTAGCACTGCGAACGCGACCAGTCGGCCGCTTTGATTTATTCCCACCAGATTCCACGGGTGGCGTGAATTTATAAGGGCTTGTTTACATACTTCTTCGGCACCTTCAGGAGAGGAGTTTGAAATTGCTGACGGAGGGGGGAGGGTAGGGGTTAATTATGGCTTGTTGACGTCATCAAAAATCATGATTTTGACAAAATTCATGATTTTATGCAAGAATAAAACGATAAAACTCTGCTGATTCTCTGGTCATTTTGTACTCCTAACGGTACCTATCAAGTTATTTGATAGATAGGGAGAATGATCAACATTGTAGGTCGATTGTAAATAAACCTAAATAAAATTGTTGCTATCTAAAAGATATTGTAAACCTGAAGTTTTTGTTCAGAAAAGGCGGGAGGGGGTTCAGCATATCCTGACGTCATTAGGGGTGGGGGTTTTATTGTTTGGTACTCACTGTCCCAAACGAGGGATCTAAAAAGAACAACAGATTGTTGTGGTAATATGTATAGACAATCCCTTGTGAGCAGCGAACTGTAGCCTAGTGTGTTACAGATAGTGTAACTGGTGAGAAAGGCAACTCAGAATCAATCTATTGGCAACTCGGTACTGGGCCAGAATCAATCTATTGATGATATATACAGCACAAAACGAAGTGGCAAATACTTCAGAATGTAGGATTTTCATTTGACAGGTCCAACGTTGTTGAAAGGACATAATATTATAAGCTAATTGTTTATTTACAGCCCTTAATTCTTTAAATCTCTTACATCGTAGATTACTCTGAAAATTCCAGCCTTCATATAATTTAAAACTTAATTAGTGTATTTTACATAGTAACAATAAGATGGATATGCAGTACGTATAATACACTCACAAGCAGCTCTCCTGTTTGTCGAGAGCATCCTCTCATAATGTAGATTCGAAAAAGTTCCAAAAATTAGAAAATTTTTCAAATTAACCAATGGTCGCTTTAGCTTTATCATAAAGTCTCAGAATGTGGTGAGGCCTCTAGTAGTCTAGGCCACCCGTGTGCTCATCGGTAAAACGATAGTTGTCAAAAGATTGGTCTTGCCTTTAAAACTGGATTGGCTATCAATGTTCAGTGTTCACAAGCAATCCCTTCTTTAAAATTTGAATTGAATCTAGTCGTCATTGAATATTAAAGCCACGGAGATTTAAAGCATGGATTTTCAAACTTTTGACCAGTCGTTCTATCTCTGAGAACACATACGAGTAATTTGTAATTAAATCACTTTGGCACATTTTCGAAATCGAGTTAGGATCCGGTCACCGGTGATTGTCTTTGTACGAGATTTTTCGAAACGTGTAGACGGAATGTTTCTAACACGAACTGTTTTGGAACATTTTTGAAACACCTCTTTATTCCTCAAGGGAAACATCTGCTGAATAATTTATCTTAGAAACAAGATCAGCAAATTCGAGCTGTTGAAAATGTTGTTTGCAGCCAGTCCAAATTCTAACGTGCTGTGACAGCTCAGAACCGAAGTATACGCTTTTTTGTAGTTTCCATTATAAAATATTTGTCCAAACTCTGCCTCAAAAGGTATGACATGAGGGCAGTTTATTCTAACAACAAATATCTGAACTTAAGTGAGATCAGAGATGATGCGCTGAGACGATCATCCTATAAACCACGTGTCACTTGTTTACAAAACACCAAAATAACACAATTTCACCACAACCACTCAATACTCCCCCTGAACTTGTGGCTTATTTCTAATAATAGCACCAGTGTGAGTGCTACCAGCACTAAGCTTTGCACACAGTACACATCACACAGTACTCAACCAGGAAAAGATTAAAAGTGTGCTGATGTCATAGCTCATGTGTACTACAAGTGTACTGCGCGGCATTCGGTCAATCGGTATTTGAGGAATGTGTAGGCTATTTCTGTTGCTTTTTCTATAATTACACAAACAGAAATACAAATATGCAAGCAGGCTGGAAGCGAGAGGTGGTTGTTGTATTTGGTGGAGCGGAGTTTTGCCACATTATCTGTGTTCCAGAGCGGAAATAGCTGGAATATGTACCGTGTCTAAAGATGGCTTGGTGAGAAACACATATTTAGCTCACACATTGTAATTACTGACTACAGTTTGGTATTTGTGGAACGTTGGGTTACGTGGAGAATCAAGTACAAACACTTTAATTGTTAAAAAGTTACACATTAAGTCAACGATATCAATAAAAGTGTTTAAAAACTTCTTTAAAATATTATAGGATAATAGGATATGAGATGGAACTAGACACAGTACTCAAGTACATACTGCACTGCAGTCTGCAGTATGTACTCGAGTACTGTAGTCTACAAGTCAACAAGTACATACTGCAGTCTGCAACAAGGAAGTTAACAAATCCCTCTTAACTTGTGGTAAGCACTAGATAAATCCTGTAAAGAGGATGACAAGCTAACATCAGTAACACTAGTAGTAGTACTCCTCTTCTCCCTCACTCCTCTCAACTTAACAACAGTCTCATACAACTGCTCAGCACTGAGTCCGCTCATCTCCCCCTCACCAGCTGCTTGTTTAACATGTCCCTGTAAACCAGCAGGGGTCTGAGAGCAGTGAACTGATATGGAGTACAAGTCACGTGGTTTAGAGTCTGAGTCACGTGGTCCAATGTCACGTGGTCTAGTAGAGTTGATGTACTGTTGGAGGAGTGTTGGTAGAGGGCGGGTGGTGTAGTGAGGATGGGTATTGTTTGCGGAGGAGTACAGGGTTCTGGTGTACACTTTATCTGAACAATTAGAAGAGTTTTAATTTAGAGTCGGTTTATTATTGTGTTATTCTAGGGCGCTAAATCAAATCAATCATTAAATTTTAGACCTGTAAATTCAATGGACTCAATTTATTGTCGACAACTCATCGTATTAATTTGATAATCAGACCAAATTATTAGAAACAAAACCCACAAGTTGCACAGTAACTCACACTGAAACAGATGTCTGTCCTGAGGAAGCAGAGCCCGATAACCTCAGGACACTTGTAGATAAGTGTGACAGTGACACTCACTGTCACAAGCTCAGAGATTGAGGGTAACTGGACGGTTACCAGAGCCTCCTGGTTACTAGGCAACAGGGTCATCACGTGACAGTCACCTATGTGGTGGAGAAGGGTGGGCAGGGAGGGTTTTAGTTCCACCTGGGGAGGGAGGGTTTTAGTTCCACCTGGGGAGGGAGGGTTTTAGTTCCACCTGGGGAGGGAGAGTTTTAGTTCCACCTGGGGAGAAAGGGTTTTAGTTCCACCTGGGGAGGGAGAGTTTTAGTTCCACCTGGGGAGAAAGGGTTTTAGTTCCACCTGGGGAGGGAGGGTTTTAGTTCCACCTGGGGAGAAAGGGTTTTAGTTCCACCTGGGGAGGGAGGGTTTTAGTTCCACCTGGGGAGGGAGGGTTTTAGTTCCACCTGGGGGGGAGAAAGGGTTTTAGTTCCACCTGGGGAGGGAGGGTTTTAGTTCCACCTGGGGAGGGAGGGTTTTAGTTCCACCTGGGGAGAAAGGGTTGGAAGGAAAAACATTGTATATCGAACAAACTTAATTCTTAAGAAACATGCAGGGAATGTGTGATTAGATTCCTTCCTAAACGTGATTCTTATTGAAAGTATTGCTAGAAAATTTCTTGCAAAAGATGTCCTAGAATATCAGGGCCAGGGGCCCTATGTCGGATGTCAAAAATAAAAATAAAGCTATCTTAGAACCAGGTGGATCATGGATGATGTATAAAGTATAGACGTCGCATGATGACGTCACATGATGACGTCACATGATGACGTCACATGATGACGTCACATGACCAATATATTGTAATATGGAGATCAGGACAGGGTGTGGTAGAATTAACACAATGGAGAGTTATGTGAGAGGAGCAGAATAGTTTCATGTGAAATTGTTGTTCCCATCCACATTGCGTTGAGTAGAATCACAGTCATTGGTGTGCAAGCTAACATAATATATAATACATATATATACAGTATACTACACAGCTACAGTCGTAAGTTATAATGAATAATGTGAATAATGAATCATAAAGTAGTCTTGTTTCGTTAGTCGTATATTCCTGGTGAGGTGCACGAGACATTACACAAACCACTGATTTTGTGACTGTCATGACATAGCCGCAGTAAATATTAAATAACCGCATCTTAATTTAAGGGCGCATATTAACGCGTACGGTCAAATAATATTTCAGATTAAAAAGTAGAGAAAACATGTTGGTATTTCCTACCTTTACAAATCTGGAAATATTAGAGGAGGTTTGAGGAAGCTCTCTCAGTCTGATATCCAGGTACCCATGTGACACCTCGCTAGACACCCTCACTGAGTCGTTATGTAAAGTTGAGTACAAACTAGATATATCCCCGATGTATCTGGATAGTTGATCCTGTGTTGATAGTATCTCGCTCCGACGTTCTGATATCCCGTCAAGCTGCAGGAGCTGACAGCTTACCCCTGACATCCACCACTAGGTTTAGGTTTCAGCTGCTTTAAGGTAGGAGTAAATGGAGAGTTTTAGAAGAGGATTCAGCATATCGTTTAACGTATTTAGCATTATTTAGCATATCGTTTAACGTATTTAGCATTATTTAATTTGAAAATGGAATTCCGTCCCAACTATTCTGTTTACATTATTATAAACGAGGCGGAGGTGTAGTGGGTGTAGTGTGGGTAGAGGTGTAGAAGTGTAGCAAATCATCTTTACAATTGCTAAGTCTTAAAGAGCAGCTCAAGCGGGACCGATTCAAACATCCTACCACGTGATCATGATATACTACCACGTGATCATAATATACTATCACGTGCCAGCAAATTACCATAATTACCCACCCTTACCTATTATAAAATTAGTTATCTCGACCTTATCTAGGGAATAATTAGTACAATATCTTATATTACAATGCAATACTAGGATCAGATGTATAGGTGATGTATAGGATCAAGTTTAAAGGTGCATGGGTGGGGGAGAGGAAGTACACTGCGTTATAATACAAACAGTTGCAGTGTACATTGTAACTTCTTACCAACAAGTACACTGTAACAGAGCACACTTTTATACATAGTGGTACTAGTGGTGTGTGGTGTGTGGTTCATTGTTGATTACTGGTTTACTTTTATACATAGTGGTAGTAGTGGTGTGTGGTGTGTGGTTCATTGTTGATTACTGATTTACTTTTATACATAGTGGTAGTAGTGGTGTGTGGTGTGTGGTTCATTGTTGATTACTGATTTACTTTTATACATAGTGGTAGTAGTGGTGTGTGGTGTGTGGTTCATTGTTCATTACTGATTTACTTTTATACATAGTGGTAGTAGTGGTGTGTGGTGTGTGGTTCATTGTTCATTACTGATTTACTTTTATACATAGTGGTAGTAGTGGTGTGTGGTGTGTGGTTCATTGTTCATTACTGATTTACTTTTATACATAGTGGTAGTAGTGGTGTGTGGTGTGTGGTTCATTGTTGATTACTGATTTACTTTTATACATAGTGGTAGTAGTGGTGTGTGGTGTGTGGTTCATTGTTGATTACTGATTTACTTTTATACATAGTGGTAGTGGTGGTGTGTGGTGTGTGGTTCATTGTTGATTACTGGTTTACTTTTATACATAGTGGTAGTAGTGGTGTGTGGTGTGTGGTTCATTGTTGATTACTGATTTACTTTTATACATAGTGGTAGTAGTGGTGTGTGGTGTGTGGTTCATTGTTGATTACTGGTTTACTTTTATACATAGTGGTAGTAGTGGTGTGTGGTGTGTGGTTCATTGTTGATTACTGGTTTACTTTTATACATAGTGGTAGTAGTGGTGTGTGGTGTGTGGTTCATTGTTCATTACTGATTTACTTTTATACATAGTGGTAGTAGTGGTGTGTGGTGTGTGGTTCATTGTTCATTACTGATTTACTTTTATACATAGTGGTAGTAGTGGTGTGTGGTGTGTGGTTCATTGTTGATTACTGATTTACTTTTATACATAGTGGTAGTAGTGGTGTGTGGTGTGTGGTTCATTGTTCATTACTGATTTACTTTTATACATAGTGGTAGTAGTGGTGTGTGGTTCATTGTTCATTACTGATTTACTTTTATACATAGTGGTAGTAGTGGTGTGTGGTGTGTGGTTCATTGTTCATTACTGATTTACTTTTATACATAGTGGTAGTAGTGGTGTGTGGTGTGTGGTTCATTGTTCATTACTGATTTACTTTTATACATAGTGGTAGTAGTGGTGTGTGGTGTGTGGTTCATTGTTGATTACTGGTTTACTTTTATACATAGTGGTAGTAGTGGTGTGTGGTGTGTGGTTCATTGTTGATTACTGGTTTACTTTTATACATAGTGGTACTAGTGGTGTGTGGTGTGTGGTTCATTGTTCATTACTGATTTACTTTTATACATAGTGGTAGTGGTGGTGTGTGGTGTGTGGTTCATTGTTGATTACTGGTTTACTTTTATACATAGTGGTACTAGTGGTGTGTGGTGTGTGGTTCATTGTTGATTACTGGTTTACTTTTATACATAGTGGTAGTGGTGGTGTGTGGTGTGCATGTGGTTCATTGTTGATTACTGATTTACTTTTATACATAGTGGTAGTAGTGGTGTGTGGTGTGTGGTTCATTGTTCATTACTGATTTACTTTTATACATAGTGGTAGTAGTGGTGTGTGGTGTGTGGTTCATTGTTCATTACTGATTTACTTTTATACATAGTGGTAGTAGTGGTGTGTGGCGTGGTTCATTGTTGATTACTGGTTTACTTTTATACATAGTGGTAGTGGTGGTGTGTGGTGTGTGGTTCATTGTTGATTACTGATTTACTTTTATACATAGTGGTAGTGGTGGTGTGTGGCGTGGTTCATTGTTGATTACTGATTTACTTTTATACATAGTGGTAGTGGTGGTGTGTGGCGTGGTTCATTGTTGATTACTGATTTACTTTTATACATAGTGGTAGTGGTGGTGTGTGGCGTGGTTCATTGTTGATTACTGATTTACTTTTATACATAGTGGTAGTAGTGGTGTGTGGTGTGTGGTTCATTGTTCATTACTGATTTACTTTTATACATAGTGGTAGTGGTGGTGTGTGGTGTGTGGTTCATTGTTGATTACTGATTTACTTTTATACATAGTGGTAGTAGTGGTGTGTGGTGTGTGGTTCATTGTTGATTACTGGTTTACTTTTATACATAGTGGTAGTGGTGGTGTGTGGTGTGTGGTTCATTGTTGATTACTGATTTTACTATCGTGTACTGTGAACTGTGTTATAATGCTACTTCACCTGGAGCTGTGTTAATCTAATTTTCATTTCTTGCATGTTCACTGGTGTGTGACAAAAGGTGGCTGTTTGGGATAAATACTAATTTTTAAAATAGTAATGAAATTCTGGGATTATAAATACAAAGAAATCGTGTTTTATGTACAATGGGAACATTTTAAAACAAAAAGCGATCAACACCGTCAAAAATTTAAAATCACCAATATAATCAATAACAAAACTAATCTTTAAAATAAATCACACTAAATACTTAAATATTTGGTAGTAGAAAATTCGTTCTACGGAAGTCTTTACACATTGTTTACACTGTATTGACTCATAAATTCGGAATAAAACCCGGTTTTCTGAATAAAACTCAAACAATGCTAGGAATGTAGGAGCACACGAAGGATGTGTTATATATTATAACGTTAATTACATAACATTACGTCAGTAACATTAAAGAGAGAGGGTTTGCAAAAGCTGCCGGAGCTGGCTGCCGGAGCTGGCTGCCGGAGCTGGCTGCCGGAGAGGAGTCTTGCTGAAGTCATCATCCTGAGGGCTGAGTGTGACTGTAATGTAATTTACTACTTGACTGGAAGGGTTATTTATATTGAGTTCAATAAAAAATGCTTATACTATTTCTGAGTGAGCGAGGGATAGAAGATAGCTGACGTAATAATGTGATCCCTAACCAGTGCCGGGCAAGTAAAGAGCGCACTCAGCACATACTTTCACCAAATCATGTTTAGTATCAGGGTTAGTAACCCCCAGCGAGGCCTTAACAACAGTGTTACAACAGCATTTAGCACAGTAACTCCTACCACAAAACCCACACATCACCTCCCCACAGCCAGTACTAGAGCAGTTTGTGCAGGGTCGAGAACAAGAGAGAGCACTCGGGGACATTCCGTCCTCTTCAATATCATCCTGTGATTCCTGAACTGGATCCAGTGGAACATGGAGAGAAGGCTGATTTGAAAGCTCGGCTGAATCCTCAAACTCACCATCACTCTCTGCCCTCTCGTAGTCCTGTTCCAACGCAACTTTACATTTAAAATCTATCTCAGTGAGAAGCCCCCTGAGAGCATTATAACATGTCTTATTACAACAGAAGAGATACAGAACAACACCTAGTAGGAGGATATTGAGGGGGATGACAGAGGGGGCGAGGATCAGGAACCCTGCAATCACTAAACAGTTTCTAGTCTCGTTAAAGTCCTTCCAACACACCACTTCAATTAGCTTATCACCAATCTGGAGGACATTCTTCAGTAACACGTCCAGTTCCTGCAACATGCACTTGTAGTCCTCTATCGTCTGTTCTCGGGACTTCTTCGAACTTTCCGGCTCCAGTGAATAATAAATAGGGTTTATAAAGTTGACAGGATTCAGAGGATTAGTTCTAGAATGTTGGTTCTGAGAGAAGTTGCCCATGTAACTGACACTGAACACGCCAGTTAAAGCAGCCAGCAGAGCAAACTGAAGATAGGCAGGGTAGATGAGGAGTGTAGTGGTTACCACGAGGGAGCATATTGTAAACTGGGTGTTTCTCCAGGATAACGCGTGAGAGATGCGTGAGTAGAGGGGGTGGAGGGGTCGGCACACTGATTTGAGCTTGTTATAGTTGGTTACTAGGTCCCTCAGTTCCACTTCAGTCATAGTTCCTGTTTAACAAGAGTTAGTTGAATTTTAATATTTTTAACCGTTATAAATTCTTAGAATATATTATGTTGTTTTTTCTATTTCATTTTGTTCTTGCTAACAATGCCAAATATTTAATACTCTTTAACATTGAAACCCGTGATAATGTTGTCTGTGATAAGCAGGATTAAACAGAGATATCGTCTTCAAAGCACGTGTTCATATTGGAGTTGATTGAACACAACGAACTTACCAAACACTGCCAAAATAATTGTATCTGTTCATTGAATTATTATTTTATTATAACGGTTAACACTTATTAACTGTCTATGTGTTGAGATCACGATATATAATGTGATAAAGCACTGTCATGAAAATCAAAACAGCTCAGTTTATTTGTGTACATTTACCACGTGACTTGTTATTATTATAGTTATTATTAGAGTCACGTGATTATTAGAGTCACGAGACAAACCAATATATAACATAGTTAGCTCATTTGTTTAATTGTACATCAACCGAGTATTTCACAGATAAACATTGCTAATTAACTGATTAATTCTGTCAATGATGCAATGTGGAGGATATTGTTCCGTTACTGAATGGTATTCCAGCAATGCTATATTCGGATTGACTGTTTAGTCAAAGCTATTTCTGAGTATTTGGCATACCTGAAAATCGAATCGTGAAAAAGCTAATTATAGGTTATAATCTAGATGTTCAGATGTAATTGGTGAGGTCACGGTTGCCTTGGCAATAGATTTTTTCCAATAAAATTATTCACACAGAATAGTTTGTGACACAGAATGTGAAATAATTCCATCATTTTAGATACTATATACGATATTTCGGAAGAAATTTACAAAAAATAAAACAAACAGTTACCATGGTTACAGTAATCATTGAAAATTAATTGATATAAATGTTTACAGTTTCATAAATATACAGTTACTTTAATGCTCAAAACAGTGCTACGCTGACAGATAATATGTGAACAAACTCGGATCAGATAGATATTATCGCACAACGCTGACGAAATCAGTACAGTAATAATACATGTAATATAATGCGGCTAGAGTGCGGTTCAACACTCTGATGCGGTTCAAACACCGTGATGCGGTTCAGATAACTTGGTTACAATAATACAATAATGGGTCATCACAAAACGTTGCGTTACAGGTACTGTAAATATAACTGTTATATAATCTGCTTATCTTACAAACTGTCAAATTGCCAAGATAACGTTTGGACTGTATTATCTTTATAATATGTTTATTTACAACAAATGAGAGACTACATTTTCTAATTTTGGAACACACACGAAAATCTTTTACCCATGAGGCCGTGAGGCGGTCACTACTTTTCAAAACGGAAATATTGATTATTGTTAATTACATATTATATTAAGTAATGCCAGAATTACACAACATCTTATTAGGTATCTATTTCAAACCCAGAGTTTGCATTACTCAAAATTGAACATTATAATATATAATATTATTGACTCACGTATATTAACTTCTGTACAAATAAAACTGAGAGAACACAGAATATTGTTAGTATAAACAAGAGAAGCCAAAAAAAAAACAATGCAGTTAACTTAAATTATACAATCACATAAGCAGACTAAAGTTCTAAACACTTATCCCATTTAAAATCCAAAATATCTAACAAAAGGTCCCATAGTTAAGAGAAGAAGAGTAATCCTCCCATCAGGTGTACTATCACTGCAAATTAAAATGTCCTAAAATCCCTTTACATTATTGTTAAAACATTTCAGGCATAAATTTGAATATTAGAAGAAAATTGCTTAAAAGTGAGGCCCTCAATCTTATTCTATTTTTTACTGCTTTAATCAAAAATCTGCAGATTTTACAAGGCAAGCAGATAAAATCAGATCACTTAAATTTCAACAAATAACTCCCAAAATTATATAGCAACTGCAAACTAGGGTCAAACTTAGCTTAGGAAGATTTGAAAAAGGAAAACAGTTCGGTAAATAATATTGTTTTGACGGTAGCTTGCAATTTCGCTAGTATTCGTTATTAATTTAATTTTCACGATTACTGACAAGTGTAGTGCACAGAAAATTATAAATAATATATCTGCACACCGCTGTATAGTGAATGTTACAGTAATCTTATAGTCCCACAAACTTCCAATAGTTACCCTGGTAGTGGGACACAATTTTGAAGAGCAAATTATGAGAAAAAGTTAAATAATTCGAGATCTATCAGCCCGAAAGCAGCAATCGTAGCTCTGAAATTGTCTCCCACTTCAGTTATAGAAAATGTTATGATATTTACAGTAGATATGGCTTATGGCATGGTTGCTTTGGGTCTTCATAATAAACATTTTATAGGTATTATCTGCAATTTAAGAGTAAGATTAATGTGATCATGTGTCAAATTCACATTCCTAAATGCCATAAACCAGTAAAATATATTCAGATTTAACTACAAACATAAGACGGTAACGGTAATCAAATGCCTCTTTTATCTAGAAAACAGCTCAAGTTTTGATAACCGTTATTATCATTCGAAATGAAAGCATCAGAGGGACTAAAGGACAAATCTTTTCCAACAAGGTACTAACTTACTTAGAAAGCCCTAAAAAGTATGGTCGTGAAAATACTTTGTAATTCCTAATATGAAGCTATGAAAATGTTCGGCAAACATGTACATGTACCTACTTAATACGTATACTACTTAGTACTTATACCTAATAACAAGACACACAATCCATATCATAAAAAGCACAAAATAATGTGAATAAGAATGGATAATACCGAAAATCTAAATAATGTACAATGATTTCAACAACATGTTCCTATACCATAATACAAGTTTAACCCGTGTGAAATATGTCTCCACCGTGGATGAGATTGCATCATTTACAACAAAATATTAAAAATAATTATCATTATCTTTAGTTCGAACATACCGTGACTCCAGAATCCGTGATCACCTAATACATTCTATCGGATATAGAGGGAATATAGATCGATTTTTAGATGTTTTATCTTTTAGCTTCTGCAAGTCTTCATGGGTTGGAGGCAATTTTCCCCATATTAAATGCTTCCCTGAAAAGTAGAGACGTGAGCTAACTGCAACTTAAATTTTACTGTTGTATTAAAGTATTAAGTAATGCATTATGTGTTATATGTTTGATAGCTTAAATCACGGGATGAAAGAATATGATCGAGTTATCAGTAGCATAATTACATTACAAGATATTATAACAGATATGATATTTGACAGATTGACAGATAATACAGATCGTACGCGTAGTACAATTACTATTCATTCAAATAGGATACAGTTACTTAAATAATACCTTTACAGAACAAGAACTTGTAAAATACCTGAATCGTCCATACGTTCAACTTCTTTACATTCTAGAGCATGAAACATCCAGAAGTGGCCATTGTTACACGAGTCCATACAGTTCCTACATGGCAACGTCACGTGATACCCCACTTGATTACCACTGAGAATTTAGCAAGATTATGAAGTTATCGTGTTGAGTGTGAATTGATTATCATTGAAATGTAGAAAGCTATCTAAGCTATTATGTTTGACATATTCTATTGTTTCAATTGTTGTTAACCAAAATGCTACTGCATGTCATTTGAGCGCTCTCATGGAAAGTAGAACAACTCATTGGAAAGCTATTTATAAATTGTGGTGATCAAGATAACAGCATATGATTAAGTAAAACTTACCACCCAGCGCAAACCAGGTCACGGATGTGACAGGCACAATTACTTGTGCAATAATCATCTCCACTCATCTCAACAGCACTGAAAATGAAACTTATTAATCCTACGTGAATTATTCAAACTTATGTAATGTCATGTTTAGTTCTATGTGCATGTTAGTTGCAACTTCTACTACTACTACACTTGATTGCAATACTGCATAAATAGCACGATAACATGATGAAGCATGTTACTATTTATAATAGTAATACTTTAGTACACAGTCCACAGAACATGAGAAGTACACGATATATTGTTACAACAAGTGGGCAGTAATTACTTGGGTGGAGGTAGATCAGTGGAGTAGAGTTCAATACTAGTATCAGCTAGAAGGATAGCCCGCATGCCTCGCCAACACAGAATGTTCATGCAGTGGCGACACTCCAGCTTCACCACTCGCTTGTGGAAAAAGGTCTGTGTTTGGTTGTAAGGCATATTCCCTAGTGACCATATAGTTTAAGTTAGAAGGATGTATGAAATGAATAGCCTAGATACTGCAGGTAACAATGTCTAGAACATGTTAGGATTAGGAGTGAAACCCTAAAATTTCCTCTTATTACAATATTGTAACCAGTATATTATTTTCATAGTAATAAAACAATTGAATATAAGAAAAAAAAGTATAAAAGATTTTATCGCACAATCAAAAAAAAGCAAAATAACATGCAATAAATTGATAAAATAACATGCAATAACAAGTATTTTTTATCATCAATTTGACCAAAACCCATAATCATGGGTAGAGTGTACCGCTGCCAGTGTCTCTCTTTTCCAAACAAAAGGAAATGATATTGATTTGAGGAACCGTCCGCTAATGCAAATTGATACCGAGAATGAAATCGGTCGCTCGCTTTTTCAAATCAATAAGCTTTATTACAATTCGTAAGCCGTGATCGAATGGAAAAAGCGAGCGACCGATTTCATTCTCGGTATCAATTTGCATTAGCGGACGGTTCCTCAAATCAATATCATTTCCTTTTGTTTGGAAAAGAGAGACACTGGCAGCGGTACACTCTACCCATGATTATGGGTTTTGGTCAAATATCATCTCTTTTTGATTATAATGACAGGATAATTTACACAGTCGAAACTTCATTAACAAGGAGGTAATTTCGACGATTTCGAAATTCTGCCTTTGAAAACGTTTCCTTGTGTTTAGTTAGGTATATCTGTCGATAACCGACTGAATATGGCACTTTTTACTCATTCAAGTTTGCATTAAATTCATATATAATGCCATTTAAATATCGTGGAAAGCAGAATATATTCGAAATCACGAATGAGCAAAATTCTCACCTTTCGCACGTGCAAACTTTGAGCGGACGTTGCGTGCGCATACAATATTGAATCACCGTAAATTTTTGCATAGTGGTATTTAATATATGGTTTGATAAGCATGCAAAGTTTCAGAAGATTTCAAAAAGAACTTGGATCACAACGAGACTCCAATGTTGATAAAAATCGTGAAAATCAAAATTTTTAGTGATTTTAGCTATTTTAAATCAATTTGGGCGTGTCCCCACGTGTGCAACTTTTCGATTTTTAACTTTAAAACTAGCCTATAACACAATTTACACCTTTTAAAAGCAAAATTGAGCTCTACAACCCAAGGGATGGCCCAACACCAGAGAATACTAATTCACAACTTTTGTGTTTTTATAAAATTATTCTTCAAAAAAGCACTAACTTCAATAGCAAATATCTTTATGAAGGAGCAAGGTAGGAAACTATTCCGGTAGATTTTCGGAATGCTTGAACAATTATCTAAGATGAAAATGTCCTCAGATTTTGAATAAAATTACTCCTTAATAGTGTAAAATCGATTTAAAAAGTTGTTACTTTGTCAAAAGTCAAGTTTTAAAAACACTTAACTTGATGACGTCATCAAGTGATGATGATGACGTTAAATTATTTTTCAATACAATGTAAACTAAAGCTTAAACAATTATCTTTAAAACCTGTGGTTCGAAATGACTGTATCGTTTATACTTTTGAATCTACGGACACTTAAATGTAGGCTACAATTGACTGCAAAAAGCGTCTATACATACATATATATCTTCACGACAATCTGTTGTAAAACAGGGGTTCCAGAAAACCCACTTCCCGATACTCCTGAAACATGACATTTTTTTTACAGTCGATTTGGACAAGGTCTAGACGCCCTGCAAAGTTTCAGATCTCTAACTCAATTTTAACATGGTTTTTAAGGCACCTGAATATGGCGATTTTGGGTTTTTTACCTAATTTCGTATAACATGCTGGCGCGTATTTTGCGCAAATTTCTTAAAAACCTCCATACAACTATTTCTTATTCCTGTCATCTTCAACATTGAATTAGAATGTTTTGAACTTAAATGTACCTGCTGAACTACTTTCGATGAGTCTTAATGCCTGGAAAACAATAAAGGGGATATAATCGTATAGGGGGTAAATAGTGTTGTGAATATAAGGGCGACGGTAATGCTTGCCAGCATTGTGATGAAAAACATGCCTAAAAACATCTGTAATTTAAGCTGCTTAAAAAGGTCTGTACAAAGACAGTCTTTTTAATGATATCTGACTTAGAATATTCATTATACATTAGATTGGTTAAAGAAGTCTCAAAGCATGATCCAAAGATTTCTGAAACAAAAGCCATGATAAGATTTCTTTATTTCTGAATAGTATAGGGTTTGTCTCGGAAAAAGGCTTAAAAGAAGGAGCCTCAATCTTTTCATGAGTGGATTTCAAAATGGCACTCATAAATCTAAATAATCAGTCTGTAAGCAGATCAACACTTCTTTGTGTACCCATCTTAAATAAAACTTGAAAATCCTCTAAAATACGTTCTTTGCTTGGTCGTGAAGAACCTTTAACTCCTCATCAGTATCCATTATCGTGGTCCGATATACTGTCCAATCAGTCGTTTTTATTGCATTCTCTAACTTTTCCTTGTCAGAAGTTGCTATGCCTTCTCTTAAAAGCTGTTTACAATAAGCTGATCTCTCAGCTTGATCCTTCTCAAATCTTCTCTGTCGCTCTTCCTCCTCTCTTACTTTTCTAGCATCCTCTATTGCTTCTGCAATCAACTCCCCTTCTATCCCATTCAGAGCTCTAAGTATTCGTAACCTGGGGCACTGACTCACCAACCTGATTGTAGCATCACTTCGGGTCTTGATGGCATTCCTTAGGGCCTCCTCCCCTCCGTCCTGCTGTCTCAGCACTTCCTTTTCTGCCTCCTCTAATGCCTTTTTCAATTCCTCTGCCCTTCTTTCTTCTTCTTCAAGCTCTTTCCTTTTTGTTGCTACCTTTCTTGCCATCAGGAATTCAAATAACTGGACAGCTTTATCATTCTTTTCTCTGAGTTCCTTTTGGAAACATTCATGTTCGACAATATAAATTGTCACCTTCAAATCTGCCATATCTTTGGAGGCTATATCATCGTCTAGATACCTTTCAATCTCTCTCAGTCGTACAAGAGCAGGGTGTTCAATTTCGTACATCCTGGTGACAGAAGACCTCATAGAAGCATGAATTATGGGTCAAAATGTACTATCAACTACCAAATTGGAATTTTATTACGTCTTGAAATTATGACTAGCAAGAAAATTAAGTCTAAACTGCATAATTCGTTGACTGTAACAAACATTTATTACTGCTTGTTAAAAAAGAAAAGAAGACTAATAACTAATAAGCCATTAAAATATACATGGTGGCCCAGAAGTAACTGCCCACACGCAACCCTTTCATAACTCAAGTAATTCTTGTCAGAATTGCACACAAATTTCAAAGAATAAAGATATATATAGAGATATTGTCCCACATTGAAATCGTCGTTTGAATGTGGGACAATTTTGAAAAACTTGCCAACAGGCAACGTTATGCCACTGAAACAAGCGCTACATTTCAGTCATGCAAAATTATACTGACATTATTTTGATATAGTATCGCAATGTAAGTTGCATACTGTGTTGCCTGATGACAACTAACAAGACTAAAAAATAAACATGTTAATGACATAATTAATTTGGCTGAATCAACACAAAGAGCCACATTAATGTTGTGGCTGTTTGAGAATAAAAAATCAAATCAAATCAAGAATAATTACATTAACATCATCACAACTTTCGAAAACATTCTTCCTAATTACTACATTAGCAGAGCTGTGAACAAGTCACAATCTTCGTCATTAAAAACAGTTAACAAAGTTAAATATAATCGGTCAAAAGTAGTAATTATTGAATACACAATACACAATAGTAGTAATCCTGCAATAACTTAAGTTAAATACAATTTAACTCTTGGTGACAAGATTGGAGATGTTGGTATACCAAGGAAGGCCCAGCATAATCTGCTTGTGAAATGCAGCGGAGAGAAGTTCATTTTCAGTGCTTTCAAGGCGACTATAGAAATCTATTGTAACTTTACTTTACTTTACTTTAAACAATATCATCTCAAGAAAAGAGACCAGAATGGTCCGCCAAATTTAAGGAGTGGTTGATAAGAAGTGTTGAACTCAGCTATGAGTCGTCTATAGGCAAATTTAACGGAGAGTGGTACAGACAAAAACGAGGAGTACCGACAGGAGGCAGTATCTGTGTACAACTTGCAAACATAGCAGTATACCATGTCATGCGTGAGCAAGTCTATTCAGACACGGAACTAATGGAACCTGTAAAATCGGTCAAGAGATACATAGACGACGGCTGTGAAGTATTCCATGGTACGAAAAGACAGTTTTTAAAATTCATCGCGACTGTCAATACAAGGCTAGCAGAACTTGGCCTCCACATTGATGAGAACATCATAGAAGATAACAATGTTTATGTGGCGTTCTTAGACATAGAATTTTGTTTCGACACCGCAGGTGATCTTCAGACAGACCTCCATGTTAAAGAGACTGATGCTCGCTCTTACCTGTACTTCGGTTCCCACCACCCGAACCATACATTCAGCAGCATAGTCTATAGTGCATGCCTGAGACTCCGGCGAATCATCAATGATAACGACAGACTCCGAAAACAAATTGATGAATTAAAAACCTTTTTCTTCCAATCCAACTACCCTAAAACTATGGTAGATAACATCAGTGAAAAAGTCAAAGGCTTTGAAAGATGCCTCAATCCACTGGACAACTCAAACAGCAGTGTCCTGGTCCCAAAGTCTCCAGAACCAGCAGTCCGCGTTATTTCAACATTTAGCAGCGATCAAGAGTTAGTAGAATCGGTAAAAAGATTGGAACCAGAACTCAGTAGAACCAGGAGCTTCTCAGGACTATCTGGTTCCCATACAAGTGGAAACACCACAGGCTCCCCAATATCATCTAGAGCCGGTACATCACGCCCTATCTTCAAATTCGTCAGACGTACTGGAACATCATTTAGAAGGAAGTTAGTCAAAGCAAAACAGTTTGCGGATGACTTAACCCAACCTCACACAAGACCATGTGGGGGC